TGCCCCGCTGCAGGCAGCGCAGCCGCCTGCCCGCCAACTGCAGCAGCCGCCGCTGTCGCTGCTGCGGTGGCGCGGCCACCCGGCCCTTGCTGCGCCTGCTGCTGCCGGGCGGCGGCGGGGCCTGGGGGCGCTAAGCCCGCTGCGGCCGCCTGCGCCGCGGCCGCCGCCGGCGTGCCTGCGGTGCCCGTGGCCGCCAGCTGGCCCCGCGGCTGTGCTGCGGCAGGCTGGGCGTGCATCAGCTGGCCCGATGCGCTGCCAGAGGCGCCAGCGTCTGACGTGGGAGCACCGGCGGCGCCGCCTGGCGTGTCGTCGCCCGCGGTTGCCGCCGCGCGCTCCTCTGCTGCTCCCTGCCCTGCTCCGGCTGGAGGCAGCGGCGCTGCATCGCGGTCCTGCCCATCACCAGCCTCTGAGGCGCTGGGGGGCGCCACAGAGGCCATGCAGCCTAGGCCGCAGCTCAACCCGAGGGGGAAGCAGGTGCGGCCTGGGCTGCCTGCCACTGGCCTGGGGCGGTGCTGCTGCGCCCTTCCGCCGCTTTACTTCGGCATGGATCCCAATTGTGTGGCGCTCAGGGGGCGGGGTCGCCGCCAAGGCTGCCGAACACGGTGTTTCAATGGATGCTTTTGCCCAGCGCCCTGGCCGGTGCACTCCTTGCAGGGCGTGCAGTGCAGTGATTTGATCAGAGGAAGATGAAACCGACGCGCGAGCGTGCTACATTCTTCTGCACCCTGTAGTGCAGAGAGGGGCAGGTGATTGCCAACCTGTCAGTCGTCAACGCGGTCTCTAAGACAGCTCCCACACTCAAGCCTGGCAGGCAAAGCGGCAAGCAGCATCCGACATGGATCGAGTTGGGCAACGGGGCGGCAAGGGGTGGCCTGGGGCAGCGCCCGCCCGGCGACGCGCATGTGTAAGCATGCACGGCATGGCGGGATGGCCGCCGCATGCCAGGGGCAGCTCGAGCGGCACTGGTGCGCAGGAAATCCATGAGAGGGGATCAGAAGTGCACACTGGGGGGATCCGCATGACAGTAAGACGAGTAGGTCGCCAGACGGCAACTTGGGTGCGTCGACTCCTGCTGCGGACGGCGCCAGCCGACTCCTGCCGCAACTGCAACAGGCCTGCTGGGAGTGCCAGCGCTGCTGCTGCAATCCGTATGCACCCCTTGCTGCGGGCTGGCGGCCCTTTTACACGTCCGTTCTGCCTGTGCTGGCTGCTACTCGAGCCGGCGCCTGCCGGTGAAGGTGCCTGCCGCACGCTGCTGCTGAGGCGGGTGGAGCACCTTCGAGTGTCCAGTGAGCAGCTTCGAGCCTGTCAGCCGAGCCTATGGCGTACCAGGAGAGCCTTTGCCTGGTCCTGCTTCTCTCAGAGGGCCCCACGTCTCAGCATGCCACCTGCGCCTCCCGCCCCCGCTCTGCCAGCGTGGCGCGGCAGGGGCAAGACAGCCCATGGGCCCGGCTCCTTGCCGCACTTGAATCGGAGCTTGGCCGGTTTCATCGCAGCCGGATCCGATGGTTCTGGCCCTGTTGGCGGGGGCAGCCCTGGGCACTGCTGGAGGGGTTGCGGTGAGTGGAGGCATGGGCCTTCGTTTTGGGCCCGGGGTGCTGTCGCATGGCTGCAGCACGCTCCCGATGAGGTGTCCGCCACACCAGACATGCCAGCAGTACACAACCCTGGCTCGGAAGGCCGCTTTGCGCCGCCTGCGCCCTGTGCTGGCCTCCCTGCCGTCTCGGGGCGGCGCTGGCACGGCGGGGCAGGCCCTGCCGGCGCCCCTGCCCACGCATATGTCTGCCCGCCGCCGCCGCCGCCACCGCCCCCTCTCCGTTGCCCGCCGCCTCCTCGCGCAGCTGGGCTGTCAGGTAGTGCCCAAGTTCCTGGTCATCGAGCCCAAGGACTACATCACGGCCGTGGACATCAGCGCAGATGACAACCCCAGCATCCCCATGCCCAAGACCGCGGGCAAGCCGGTCAGGTGGGCGCCGGGCGGCGCCGCCGCGCGGCGCTGGGCGGCTGCGGCAGCTGGGGGGAGCCGGCATGGGAGCAGCAGGGGCCCCAGGGAGGAGCAGGAGGGAGGCACGAAGGAGCTGGGGGCACGCCTGGGCAGCTGGGGCGGCTCGCCGTCCGCGCCTGCCCGCCGTTTCATCGGCGCCCTGCCCCTGCCCCCGCTCTCTCGCAGCGTGTTCAAGAAGCGGCTCCTGAAGGACACCAGCCCCTGGCTGGTGCACCCAGACTACGACCGGGTGCGGCGGCGGCGGCCAGCGCTGCCATTTGCGTGCCTTGCTGCGCCGGCGGCCGCCCCATACCCCCCGCGCCGCCGAACGGCGGTGCCGCCAGGCCGTTGGGGGGGCGCCATGCCGCGCCGGGGGCGCAGCCGACAGGCCCCAGGCCGCCGCTTTTGGCCTGATGTACCGCGCCTGATACCCCTGCCTGATTCCCTGCCTGATACCCCTGCCTGATACCCCCGCCTCCCCCCACCCGGTAGGTCCTGTTCATCAACACCATCCTAGAGACGCTGTGGGCCTCACCTGTCCCCCGCCATCCACAAGGTGGTCATGGGAGCAGCCAAGGCGCCGCTGGACG